CAGACAGACAGACAGACAGACAGACGGACGGACGGACAGACAGACAGACAGACAGACCGAGGGAGAGAGAGGGGTAGAGAGGGTGGGGTGGTGAGGCAGAGAACGGGGAGGGAGGCACATAGGAAAATGGAAAGATAGAGGATGGGACGGAAAGGGTGTCGAGAGACAAGCCAGAACTTAGAACTCCCCACGCCCCAGGACAATCGGGGTTTTGGGGGGAGGGGGGTGCTAGATTTGTTAATAAAAGATTGGGAAAAGCACTGATGACATGTGTAACGAAACACTCACATGTAGATCTAATTGTAGCTGTTATTCGTGTTCTTTTATGGTGCCATCTTAGTGGGAAAGAATCATTGTAACTATTCACTCATTTTGACATAGTCAATGGTTGTCTGATACAAACAAGATCACCAACATGGCTCCCGAAAAAGGGACGCAAGATAAAAAAGACAAATAAAACTAACTGAATACAAACAAACGAACAATAACAGAACAAAAAACAACAACAACAACAAAAAAACAAGAACAAAATAAACACTTCCCTACCCCCCAAAAACAAAAACAGAATAAAAAAAAAACAAAAAAAACAAAAACCAAAAACGTTACTAACTCACAAAGCCCTGTTTTTTCCCTTGGAAGTACTCGCCCATGTATCGCGCGCCTTTGGCCTCCTTGGACTTGAACTTGTAGACCCCGTAGCCGTCTCTCTTGCCGTTCATGTAGTGACCTTCGTACAGGTCTTTGTTAGGGAGGATGGTTTTGCCCATTCCGTGTCGCTCGTCCTTCTCATTTCGTTCACCTTTTACAGAGACAGTTCAATGGTTCAGTATAATATTCCGCCAAACGCCACTTTTCCTGAGGAAATCTTTTTAAAAAAATGGCAGTCTGCACTCTATGCTTCCTGGGAAGTTGAGATTTTTCAGAATGTTATCGGGTCTGCTTGAGTAATAGCACAGGTTGTAAAAGGAAACAACAACTGAATAATAAATCAGTGAACTAGTTTTTTTGCTTCCCCAGAACAATTTTCAAAGTAACGTATGTGGCATTGTCTTACTAATCAGGAGATTTAATGATGTCGTAATTGTTAGAATCCATTTGGAAGCAAAAGTGTAAACATAATCATAGTGCAGACTAGATCTAGCTATTAACAAGTGCTATTGCTAAGCCTTGAAAGCAAAATTGTATAGGAGAGGAGAAAGACTGTTTTAATTATTCTTTTAATGATTTTTACCCGCACTATGATTTTTATAGTGCTTTTTCTAAACATTTAGAATTTGTTGTTCGCTTTTTACAATTTTAATGCAGGCGTTTTTTACACCCCTATCAACATAATTTAGATAATCGAGGAAGCATGCTTCCCACCCTGCTTGTAAGGACCAACTCAGGCTGAAAGAGAAACAACATCCCAACAGAAAGACTCAGATACGTGATGAATTTTTTTCTCCTCACTCGGGATCGAACTCGGAGCCTTGCGTGCGACAGCAAAGCGTCAAACCGCTACCCCACAGACGTCGGTTGCTAATCTCCACTCCAATGCCACCTCTATAATCTCCGGCACTTACAGATCTAATTATGATCTAGTTATGTTACAAGTACAGCAAAACTCGCTCTATAACACACAATACAAAATATACCTTCATACTCTCCGATGAACGACAACCAAAACCCCTCCCCCCCAAAAAACACAAAAACAACCCCAAACAAAAACCAACAAAAAACCCAACAAAAAACCAAAAAAAAACCCCCAACAAAAATCAAACGAAAAATGAACGGGGAGAACATAATAATATGATCTTGTTATAATATTGCAAATACCATAAAACTGGAACTAAAATACACAATACACAATACAAACAATACCTTCGTACTCTCCAATGTACGGCCCCTGCTCCTCTTCCTCTCCGAGCTCGTCGTCTACATCAGACATGCTGCTGCTGCTCTTTCTCTATACTGGCGATTAAAAAGAAAGGTACCACTTTTGATGGTATATAAAAAAATCCCAAACTAGTCTCATGAGGCTTTACGCTTGTCCTTTCTTGTCTTGGGGCTCCTGCAGTGTGGTATCGTGGTAAAATCAGGCGCTTGTCAAATTAATGAAATCGAAGAAACCGACATTTTTTTCCGATCAGTGGGCAATTTTTATCACATAATTTTCTTTTTACGGCTGAAAAATCTTTTTATGATGTCTACTCAAAAACACATGTATGTGTGGAGTTTACTAGAAAACGTTGATCAAATGTACAAACATTATCAGTTTGCAATTTCCAAGGACACTTAAGCTTTGGAAGTCACCACACTTTGATGGCCATTTTCTTGTCAATTTTACATCTGACACCAAATGACCCCCACCCCCTTCAACTTCAATATCAGATATCTCGACTTCTTTTCAACACAAATGGATTTTTTTGTCTTCAAACGCAAGACAAATACGAGGCTTTCATTTTGTTATTTTAACTCTGTGTGCCCCAAGTAATGACAACTGTCTAATTCCACTGTGTCATAACCCCTCGGATAATGCTTTAAAAAGTTGGAGAACTTCGCTGATTTCACAATCTATTGCCAACGAGATCAGATGACTGGTTAGGAGTACATTCGTGCCTACTCTTACAACCACCCGTTAAATACATTGACCTGTATAAACGACCACTCCCCACTCTCTTTTTGCGTTGTTAAAAACTCCATATTTTTAAATAATAACATGAAAATACGATAAAACACTGAGAGGACCACCTGTCTAAGATGACCACTTTTACCGTCGACATAACAATGACGGTCGTCTTCGACAAGTTCAACAGTGGTTTTTGAGTCCCAGTTTGTCTATCTGAAAGCCATCCATTTCAAGACACCTTGAAGGAGAGTGTTTTCTGATGAATTGTTTCAGCTACAATTTTATGGTAGAGTCTATTTACTTTACGTGCTTTTTAAATTCTCTATGATCATCGAAGACCCCTTAATATTTGCAAAACTTTCATGATGGCAATCACGTAAGGATCATCAAAAGCCAGGTGTGTGACGGACATCGGTGATCATGGTTCTCCAATCAATCATTTGCTCGGATACTCTCTAAAAGCTACAGTATCCCGATCTTTCCCCTGCATTCATCTGTTTACCTTCACTGTTTAGGCAGGCTCTCCAAGTAAGTAAGTTGCCCTTCAACTGGTGAAATTGTACAGGTTTAACGTAAGGATACCAATTTTAAAAGCTTATCGACTCACGAGTTCATCTCTGTTGACTGCTGTTTAAAAAAATATTGTTAACAGAAAGGGAAATTGAACAAAAATAACTAATCAACCAGCAGTCGGACCGCTATGAAGTTATTAGCCTGCAAGATCTTGAAACTGACATCCTTACGTTCTGTATTGTGTGACTGTGCTTGTTCATTTTTCTGTTAACTGTCGTGGGCTATGTGTGCTTCCATGCACTCTAAATGAATGTAATGTTATTGCACGCGTTTATACGGTACTATCGACATAATTTAGATAATAAAGGATCCGACCCTGTTAGTCGCTACCTTAAAATTACAAAGTTCTATCTGACATTTTTGTCCATATAGGCACTGACGAGCAGATAGGATTTCGAAATTGTAGGGTAGCGCAGTGTCGCCGTCCGGTCCTACCAGGACTAAAAGAAAAACAGCAGCACAGCAGAAAGACTAGGATACTCGATAAAAGTTATTGGGAAATCGAATTGGGGGGGGGGTGCGACAGCAAAGCGCATATTCTCTGCATCACAAACGCCACTTTCAGTGCACTTGACTTGATCAAACATCACTTTTTGACGGAAGAAGACTTCAAGTCTCAAGACAAAAGAGTTAGCCAGTAAAAGATGCTCCTTTAGCCTTAAGTCCTAAAAGTTTCACGCACAAAGCAGTGAGTTCTTTCAAATTGCATTCTTCATATTATGTTATCGACAGGGAAACAATACCGTTAAAGAAACGTGCATTACTTTAGGCTAAAGGAGAATGCAAAATTTGAAAATCACTGAGCAGTCTACCTTTGTCCCTTTGGCAGAAGAAGTCTCAGGACTGACGTCGAACGCTGTTGTTCAAGAAACACAGTGCTATAGGTGTGGAGCATTATTCTGCACTGGTGCGCACCATGATAACCAAGGACTAGACCTAGTGTGCATTAAAAAAAAGATTAAGATGTTAATATAGGCCAATACTATATAATCACATTGCAGTTCTACTTTTTTTTCTTCTGGCAAGGGATTAGCAGCGCTTGCAACTGCATAAGGTCATATGAGCGCACGGGACACCTTACACAGTTTCAGTTTGGTAAGAAATTTTGAATTTTGCCCGGGTGGCGGCTGAAGCCTACTCTTATTCTTATCGATTTTGGACCACCAAGGGATCTTTAACGTGCACAACTTGCACAAGGGACCTCCGAGATTTTTCGCCCTTATCCAAGAAAGCTAGGTGTTGGATCTTACCTACCATAAGACCAGGAGTGTGGCTAAAAGACAGCAATAAGAAGGAGTCAAGAAGCAGCAGCAGAAAGGCTGCAGAAAGATTCAGGAGCCAGCGGAAAAGGGGGGAGGGGAGGGGAGGGGGTAAAGGAGGCGATGGGGTGGGGGCTGAAAGTGGAGACGTAGGCAGACGACAGGACATTGTTAGAGAGCAGAAAAGAAGGTGAAAGAAAATTTTAGAAAAGAAAATGTTCAGTCGCTATCTGGATTCGAATGCAGGACCTATTGAATGAGAGGCAAACACCGCAATCTCTC